GACGCGGTTTAATCGGGCGCGCTTTAGTCGAGCGCGGTTTTGTCGTGCCACGGTGATGTAAACTTTTATATACAGTATATAAATCTACCTTTCATAATTGCTTTGTTTCTTCTATTCTAAAATTAATTCTTTTTCCCCAAAGCCAATCAGTCCTTTATGGACACACAGGGCACTTTAAAAAAAATGTTTTTTCCTCCATTTGGATGGCAGTCTCTCTCTCACTCTCTCTGCATTTCTGAAATGCATTACCCATTTCTAGGACAAAAATAGATCTTCACATGAGGGCAAGAGAAGCAAAGTACAGTTTATGCCTGTCATTGCTATGGTGATTGTCAGAAGTTAAGTGAAAACTTCACACAAGCAGATTGGCAAATTGTCTTCTGTTTGTGCAGAAGCAGCTATAAAACACGGCATTGCGCTTGGGTGGATGGAAAACATACAAATTAATTGTGTACTTCATAACTGAGTACAACCTCGTAAATAGGACTTTGTAAGGCTGTTTTTTTTAAAACAAATATTTTATTATTATTTTTTTTACATATGCTGTATAATATGGAAGAAAAAGATGTATTAAACGTGAAAGAGGCAAGCAAGCAAAGAAAAAAGACGTCGAAAAATGAAACAGGAAAAAAATGAAAAGAAAATAAAGAAATAAAAAACAAAATACAATTGCTAAATCTGGAAAAAGTTTAGTAACTCCTGGAAAATCACAGATTGCTCACATCTCATGGCTTTTGCAACAAGAAATTATTTTAAATAATGGGAGGAAATAAGAAATAGTGTAACATTAAATAGTTCTGATCCCTGAATTTATCAAACTCAATCCTGCTTGAGATCCACCAGATCTTGGCCCACTTAAACTAGCTATTTTCTTTCTCTAAGCATAATAGTTTGCTTAGTTTGTACATACTATACGCAATGTTTTCAATGCTATATTATCATTTAAAATATCTTTACTGGGTGCTTTAATATCTACTTTTTAATACTATTTTTCCCCAAAAAAGTCAGATTATATATTTTTGGACAGAAAATGTAGACCCAAAACTAATTATTCTGCCAAAAAACATAACATTTCTGTAGTCATTTTGATCTTATTGTTGTGATTTAAAATTGCACTATAAGGATAATAAATGGGGGTCGGAGTGTGGGAATGGATTGGCCACAAAACTTTACAAAGAGAAAATCATAAGCACAGAAGTCTTTTCCCCATAATGAATTTCATAAAGCCGAAATGCTTTTCCATACAAACCATTAGTTACCAGAACTCCCTTAAGAAGACAGCCTATCCTGTCTCATTACTAACTTATCAGTTTTGTAGACATTGTAGTCATGACATTTCCCACCTGTCTTCTCTCCCTCCATTACTCTCTCTTCTTTTCTAACACAGTAAAAATATAAAAATAAAATGCTTGTTCTAACTGGCAAGAGGAAAAAAGGGCAAATTGGAGGAGAAATGGAGACTGGAGACCCAATGACAACAATAAGAGTAGCTGTATCAGTTTAATGGTAAGACAAGTTGCTAACTTCCATCCTAGAACCTGGTATGAAAATTTATCTATGATAGCTAATTAACACATCTGTTATTTGACCCATTTAAACAATAAGCCAATAATATTTAAGCTCTTTTCAATCTAGCATTATTGTTATAATCTTTTTGGTCTCAGATTAATAAATATAATGATCTTACAAAATAATTATTTAAAATATTTATGCATACTATAAATTTACAATTAATAATAAAATAATTTATGACTAATGGATTACATATAGAAATGAATACATGAACTAATTTCATAAGAAAGATAATTTTATCCCTACTCTAAAGAACATTTCCCATTAAAAACATTAAAATTAAAAAAAATCATATTAAAATATCAATATTCAAAAGTTAAACATTAAAACATAAAAAACATTTCACATTATAAACACCGAACATTGAAAAAGAAAAAAAAACTTTGACCTGATTCCTGGTTTATTCTTCTACATTATTTTAATCTTTAAAAGCAACTTACATGTAATACCCTTTTCCAAGTTTTCATAATAGCCGCAGAGACATATTTGCTGGAGAAGATTGGGATGAAATTTTTCAAAAGCTTTTACTTCTTTTAGGCGAGTAAATATAATATCCACATCTTCACTTGAACGCTCCAAAGGTCTGCAAAAAGAGGAATGACATTAGTTTATTATCTTTCATTTTTTGAGTCACAAAAATCAAAGATGATGATACTGTACTATAGGATTAAAACTAAACTGTCGGCTAAATAGAGCTAAAATATAGAAATCAAAATTGCATGCAGCTAAAGCCAGCCAAAATCCTAAATATCAGCAGCAACAATAACCACAACACACAACCTAACCTTGATTGTAGATCTTAATTAGAAAATTAAGATCATCTTTAAGAAATCATTTTGTCTCATTCGAATCAGAACATTAGAATTCTGTAATAGACAAGTGACTCTCAAAAGCATATTTTTATTAGGGTTCTCTTGTGAAAAGCTGATAAATGATGCAGGAGTAACTCCCAGTGTTACATACAGGTAGTCTTCGACTTACGGCTACAATTGAGCACCAAAATTTATGTTGCTAAGTGAGAAATTTGTCAAATGAATTTACGACCTTTCTTGCCACATTTGTTAAGTGAATCACTGAAGTTGTTGAATTTGTAACATGGTTGTTAAGTGAATCTGGCTTCCCGTTGACTTTGCTTGTCAGAAGGTTACAAAAAGGGATCCCATGACGCCGGAACACTGCAACCTTCATAAATATGAACCAGTTGTCAAGCATCCGAATATAAACCACATGACCAAGATGATGCTACCATGGTTATAAGCAGGGGTGAAATCCTCCTGGTTCAGCCAAACTAGTAGGGACAAATGTCTTTGGTTCTGCGAACCGGTAGTAAAAAAAAAAAGCTTCTGAGGATCACATGGCTCAGCTGTGAGCCGCACAATCGTCGGAAGCTTTCCCGCCGCTTTTTAAAGCATTTTTTTCCTGCCAGTTTGGGCGAATAGGCAGGAAAAAAATGCTTTAGGAAGTGGGGAGGGGAAGCTTCCGACGATCACATGGATCAGTTGTGAGCCGCGTGATCGTTGGAAGCTCTTTTTTTTCCACTTTTTAAAGCATTTTTTCCCTGCCCATTTGCTCAAACTGGCAGGAAAAAAATGCTTCAAAAAGTGAAAAAAGTTGGCTACGCCCACCCAGTCACATGACCACCACCACCAAGCCACGCCCACAGAACTGGGAACAACATAGATTTCAACACTGGTCCTAAGTATGAAAAATAGTAATAAGTCACATTTTTCAGCGCCGTTGTAACTTTGAACAGTTCCTAAATGAACTGTTGTAAGTCAAGGCCTACCTGTATTTTAATATACATTGCTGTGAGACAGCCTGTATGATCTCATGGTTAGAGGGGATTAGGATTGTCAATTAGGATTTCAAATCAAACTCATGGAAGCTTATTGGATAATTTTGTGTCGGTCTTCATGTCTCAGCTCAATATATTTGACTGAAATACTGTGGGCACAGAACTGGAGGAAGGGAGTACCATGTATATTGCCTTGAGCGCCCGGAGAAAACAACTAACAAATAAACTATGGAGATTAAATAAAATGAAGAAATAAGTATTCAGTGACTGTGAGCCCTTGAGCTACTTTTTTAAAATCAGGCTTACGTTACTGTCATATTTTTCTATTCAGATAGGAAAAAAGCCTACTTAGTACAATAAGGACGAGGAAACCAAGTCAACCATGAAACAAGTATCATAAAGGTGACCGGCATAAGAGCTGACAAGAAGGGAACGTATTTTCATACACCAAACTGTTCTGTTTCTTTGATTTACAAAAATTATCTTGAGGTCAAATCACAGCTAAAGTGTAAAGGAAAAGTTCTTACTTTTCATCCTCAGCACAATAAAGAGCAGCAATGCAGGGAAAAAATATCAAGCTACGCTTTCCTGAAAACATTGGCCTAAACTATGCATTATCTTCAGAAAAGAAGATGAATGAGTGAAAAATTGTTAACAATGTACCTCTACGTTCCTGTCTTGATTGAAAGTCAAAACTGTGTTTTGACAGATAGTTGATACTGCATGGGACTAGCGAGCAAATGTAGCCGAACTTGACTGATCATGTTAAGTAGGATTGGATTGAATTAGTACTGTACTTGACTGAAATACCATCATGGAAATCCAAGCTGTAGATTAAACTAGGAAACTGTGGGGGAGGGGGTGTCTCATTAGGCAGCAATGGAGAATCATTATCTCCTTGTTGTTAGTTGTAAAGTCGTATCCGAACAATCGCGACCCCATGGACAACATTCCTCCAGGCCTTCCTGTCCTCTACCATCCTCTAGAGTCCATTGAAGCTCACGCCTACTGCTTCGGTGACTCCATCCAGCCACCTCATTCTCTGTTGTCCCATTCTTTTTTTGTCCTCAACCTTTCCCAGCATTAGGTTCTTCTATATTAGCTTAATTAANAGTCGTATCCGAACAATCGCGACCCCATGGACAACATTCCTCCAGGCCTTCCTGTCCTCTACCATCCTCTGGAGTCCATTTAAGCTCATGCCTACTGCTTCGGTGACTCCATCCAGCCACCTCACTCTCTGTCGTCCCATTCTTTTTTTGTCCTCAACCTTTCCCAGCATTAGGTTCTTCTATATTAGCTTAATTAAGGCAACAATACAAATTAGTCCAAAGTCAAACTCAACTAGAACAAGACTTTTTTTAGTCTGGCATAGCAATACTGTAGGCAGAGTTTTAATAGCTATTGCTTTTATTTTATTCTGGTTTGTTTTAGGGAAGTTCCTTCTAGCCGTCAAGAAATTCCATGGAAATTGATAACAAAGAAATCTCCAAATTTTAATTAATGATTCCAAAATTGTGAGTTCAGTACTGGCTTTTTTTAAAAAAATAGACATGCATAAGTCACTCTCTCTTCCTAGCTAATCCATTGTTTTTTAGTCAGTGGGTCAATCAGTCAATTTATTTTGGTCATTGACCAGCAATTTTTTTTGCATTTAATTTTAGAGCATTGACAATGGCCAAAATTCAAAAATTAACCAAATATAACAAAAATAGTTAAAACCACTGTTAAAACTAACTCAAAGAGAAAAGACCTGATTGAAGAGGAAGGTCATATAGTAGGTCTTTCCCCCAAAACGTAAAAGAGTGAAGAGGGAGTGAAGTTCCTAGGAAGTGTATTCCACAACTTGGGAACAACATAGGAGAAAACTATCTTCCATATGTCTGGTAAAGAGAGATAAGAAAATAAGAAGGCCTGCTGATCAGACAGATTCACAATGAAATAATCTGATCATGTCCTAAGTGTAATGCTATCTGTCAAAAATATATTAAGTTTATATACTATACATGTCTTTCTGCGACAGGTCAGTGCAAATAAAATGGCTTCTATTATATATGCTACAGTTAAAAAGCAGAATGGAATCTGGCATCTAAGAAACGGCAATTGTCAGTGAAAGTATGAAAGCAAGGTAGCATATTCAAAGAAGCACAAAAAAAAGACAGTACTGTATTCTGTTGCTCCACTTCATTTGCTCACAAGTTATCTATCTGTTCTTGGATTTTATTCCAATAAAACGTTCTATATATACCACTCTGATTAACTTGCAAGTAATCACTGGTGTTTTTTTCATAATCTTCACAAAAATGATATAAGGAAATAAACAAAAGCCTTCATTTTTTTTTTTAATGAGATTCAAAAAACCAAATGTATTTTCCTTTAGGTCAAGTAAAATCTAGAATAGCAAGTGCTGCCCAAATTTGTGTTTTATTTATTTCTATATCAATTTTTTTAACCATCCATCTCCCTGACAGTGGAGTTCTTATTCCCAATCTCTGGTAATGGTGGTAATGGTGAAGCCTTCTAAGTAAAGGTAAAGATTCCCCTCACACATATGTGCTAGTCATTCTCGACTGTAGGGGGTGGTGCTCATCTCCGTTTTCAAAGCCGAAGAGCCAGTGCTGTCCAAAGTCATCTCTGTGGTCATGTGGCCGGCATGACTAAACGCTGAAGGCGCACGGAGCGCTGTTACTTTCCCATCAAAGGTGGTCCCTATTTTTCTACTTACATTTTTATGTGTTTTCAAATTGCTAGGTTAGCAGAAGCTGGGACAAGTAACGGGAGCTCACTCAGTTACGCGACGCTAGGGATTCGAACTGCCGAACTGCCAACCTTTCTGATTGACAAGCTCAGGGTCTTAGCCACTGAGCCATCGCGTTCCTCCTAGCCTGATTTAAAAGCACCGGAAAACTTAAATGATGGCATATACTTCTGAATGATCCTAATAAAAGTATTTCTGTATTGTGGATAATTTTGACATAAATCAATCTAGTCATTTATATTTTGTCAGCCTCTAAAATTCAATTATAAGATAACTATCTATACATAAAGAACTAATAGAATCAGAGGAGAAAAGACAGTACAAGAAGTCCTGAACTGATGACTATTTGTTTAATGACTATTCAAAGTTACAATGGTGCTGAAAAAAGTGACTTACGGCGGTTCCTAGCACTTATGACCATTGCAGCATCCCCCTAGTCATAAAGTGACCAAAGTTTTGTTGCATGGCAACCATCATGTATGTAGGAACTGGGTATGTCTAGTTTAATGAAAAGAAGGACTAGGGGAGACATGATAGCAGTGTTCCAATATCTCAGGGGTTGCCACAAAGAAGAGGGGGGTCAAACTATTCTCCAAGGCACCTGAGGGTAGAACAAGAAGTAATGGATGGAAACTAATCAAGGAGAGAAGCAACCTAGAACTAAGGAGAAATTTCCTGACAGTTAGAACAATTAATCAGTGGAACAACTTGCCACCAGAAGTTGTGAATGCCCCAACACTGGAAACCTTTAAGATGTTGGATAGCTATTTGTCTGAAACGGTATAGGGTTTCCTGCCTAGGCAGGGGGTTAGACTAGAAGACCTCCAAGGTCCCTTCCAACTCTGCTATTGAATTGTATGTATTTATAATGCAGCATTTCAGGGTCATGCAATTGTGACCTTTGTGACTTTCCCAGACACTTTCTGACCAGCAAAAAAGTTAATGGAGAAAGCCAGGTTCATTTAATAACCGCATAGTTACCTTAACATCTGTAGTGATTTATTTAACAACCATGGCAAAAATATTGTAA